GGGGGCCCACAGAGATGAGGAGGACGGGGAGGGCCACAGGGATCAGGGGGACAGGGAGGACTGCAGGATCCGGAGGACGGGGAGGGGGACCGCAGAGTTCAGGAGGCGGGGGCAGGACTGCGCAGTGATTCCTTCAGTCGCTCATGGGTTTGATTCCGTCGCACACAGGGTTGCTGTGAGTTAGAACAGCTATGAGTGGACAATACAAATAGCAGTAACAGCGGACGGGCAGGATCGGGGCGAGGCTGCAGTGGACCCGTGGAGGGTGACCCACAGAGATAACACCACAACCTGCATCTGTAAACTCGATGTGATGGCAGAGCAACCCTTGTGGTCCAACCTGAGAAAGGGATTTTTATTATTGTTATAGTTTGTTTTGTTACAGCACCTGATGCTACAAGAAAACTGTCATTATTTCCTTGAGGAAAGAAACCAGCTGGAGTCCTTGGCCCCACTGCTGCTGGTTTCCGACATCTTGGCCTGCTGGGCTACATCACGTGCTTCCATGTGGGTCCAGTAGGCCCCATCAGTTACAGTATCCGAGACGGCTCACACCACGAGGAAGCATTTGAGTTTACTGCTGTTAACTTTGAGTTTTCAAAACAGCACTCAATGTGATGGCACACACACACACACAAATAATAAAATAAAATTAAAAAAAAACCACACACACAAAAAAACAGAAAACCAAACAAACCAGCACTAGGACCATTTGGTGGACAGCTGAGATGAGGGAAAGACAGGACTATGCCTGACCACGTGGAGAGCTGAGCTGTGGGGCTCTGAGTCCGGAGCCCAGGCTGCCTCCCAGACATTGAGGGTGAGAACCTGAGACACTCCACGTCAAAGCCACAGACCTGCTGGAGAGCCACTTGTCATGGGCATTTGCGGGAGGACTTGCTGCAGAGCTCATTTCATGCTTGGAAGCACTTCCCATGTACTGTGTCCACAGCATAGATCCAGTGACCAGGTCCCTTCTTGTGCAAATATCGCTTTCCAGGTTCAAGCGACTGCTCAGGACCCTTCTCCGCCTGCTCCTGGTCTTCCATGGATTTGCTTTGACGCTTCCTGTACACTAATGTGGAGACAGCGACAGGGTGGCAAGCGGAGTGCAGTGGCATTTACTCAGTTATCTCAAGGGACATAATGCTTGGGAAGGTGGAGGGTCAGTGAAAGAGAGAAAGACGCCCTCAGATCGATTGACACAGTGACTGCGGTGATGGGCTCAAGTGTGTCAGAGATGGTGAGGACGGGACAGGATGGGACAGGGCTCAGGACAGTTGTTCAGAAGGTCGCTCTGAGCCATACACCACCCCACAGCATCTAACAACCACCACTACACCACCATTCAAATAGGAGTCTTTCAACACTCACAGCTCTTAGCTTTAATTTGAAGGTGGATGGTTCAAACCCAGCAAGCCCTCCTCTGGAGCACAGAGGTGGTCATCATTTACTACCTCAGACAGCCCCCATGGTTCTACGCTGTCCTGCGGGGCCATTAGGAGTCAGGATTGACTCAATGAGACACAACAGTAACCATGCAGAGGTGATTTTGTTTTCAATAAAATTACTAAGGTAAACTACTTGCTACTGTATTTCTGGAAAATCCATTTCTTTTTCCAGAATCTCTGACTTCCTGGCCAGTCACTGGATCCTAACTATGAAGCCTACTCACTGTTTCAGAGTCAGCAAACGGCCAGGCCAGAGACTGGGGGATGCTGGGACTTCTGGGGCAGCAGCTGAGCATCCCAACAACTCGTTAATCTCTGGAAGCACATGTGGGTGCTCATTTCAAGCCCCGGCTCACAGGCGCACACACACATGCATGGACAGGTGGTCCTGACACCCAGACAGCTGACAGTATCCCTGGAGATCGCCCTGACACCAGTGAGGTGGCTGTCTGCTCGCAGGGTGGCCCTCCTCCCCACCAAGCCTCTTTCACAGCACTGACAGCAAAGCTTCACTTCCCCACCGAACCCTCGTCCCAGGGCCAGGCACGGTCACGTGGGACTCATTAGCACCCTTGCTTCCCAGAAGCCTATGCACTGGGTCACCCTGAGCACCCTGAAGGACGGTCCAGGGGTGCACTCCTGCTGTCTCTGCCGTCTTCAGGTGCCGTGCGGTTGGCTCTGATTCACGAGCTCCCTGTACGCCCGCACGGAGCCTGCCCAGTTCTGCCTGTCCTCACAAAGTCCGCCGGACTGCCCCTCTGCCGCAGTCTCTGTGCCGATCCGTCTCACTGGGGTCTGCCTGTGTGCTGGTGACCCTCCGCTTCACCAAGCATGAGTCCTGCAGTGGTGGGTCCCCCCTCACGCATGTCCAAAGAGCTGCCCGCTGGGGGAAGTCCAGGCAGGAGAAGGAAGCTGCTCCCCAAGTCCTCTCTCCATGACAGATCAGGTCTCCCAAGAGCAATGGCAACAAGGTAGGTGTGCTGCTGGAGGAGCTCCAGAGGGTGGTCCCCCCAAGGGGCCCCAGCGCAGGTGTTGACGGTGCCTGTCCGTTTATGCTGCGATTGTGGAAGCTGAGCTACTGCTCTTCCAGACACCAGCAAGGTCACCCAGGTGGACGGGCTCAGTGGAGCTTCCAGACAAGGAAGCAGGGCTGACCACCCACTTGTGAGGTGACAGGCCCTCGGAAAACTAGCAAAGCAGCGGAGCACGGTCTGACCAAGCGCCAGATGAGCCCCTCAGCCGGGAAGGCGCTCAGGCACAATTAATGGTCACCCCTCAAAGTGGGCCGACTTCGGCGTGCGGACAGAGTGAAGCCGCCAGCCAGCGGAGGGCCTGGGCTGGCTGATGATGCTGCAAGACGCAAACTGCGGACAAACAGCTGCAGAATTCCGTCAATGACTGGGATGTGCAAGGTGCGAAGCCGTTCTGCTTCTGGATGTAGGAACTTGGCATGTCACAAAGACAATGCTGTGGGTCGATATGGTGCCTGAAACATGGGCCTGAGCATGGGGAGGCTACGAGGATGCAGGGCCGGGCAGGGCTTTGTTCTGTTGTGTGTGTGGACTCGGTGAGTGGGAACCAAGTGGACAGCGCCTCTCAACCACCACACGTGTGTGTGCTCCAACCTCACGGACTGGACAGAGCCTCACAACCACACGTGTGCGTGCTCCAACCTCACGGACTGGACAGAGCCTCACAACAACCACACGTGTGTGTGCTCCAACCTCACGGACTGGACAGAGCCTCACAACAACCACACGTGGGTGTGCTCCAACCTCACGGACTGGACAGAGCCTCACAACAACCACACGTGGGTGTGCTCCAACCTCACGGACTGGACAGAGCCTCACAACCATGTGTGTGTGTGTGTGTGTGTGTGTGTGTGTGTGATGGTAAATTTAAATTACTTCCTTAAAATACTTTTAGTGATGGCGCAAATCGCACACCTCACCAGGACACAGCCACAGCTAGCATGTTAATGAGAGAGGAAGTTTTATACAAATTTTCACGGTTGCTCCAATTCCAAGGTTTCCTGGTGTCTTTCAGAGAGGCGCAGAACAGCGTGACTTACGGGTGACTGATAAGTCTATCGCTGCTCACCGAGTCAGGAACACACAGGTCCCACAGAGATGTGTGTCCTCAACGTCTCCCAGCTGGCCCCAGGCACGCGTTTTACCTCAGGGTCCCGGAGGGGTTTATTACTGGGCCGGCATAACAGGGAAACTGTTTGGAAAATAAAAGCCGATACAAAGGAAATCTTCCCAGATCATTTCCCTGCAGCTGCGAGTCGGTGTCTTCCAGCGTTACTGTGAGTGGAGGCAGCACCGCGCCCCAGACCTCCTTCTAACTGACAGGTGCAACCGGTCTCTTTCTGTTCCCCACAGCACACAGCCAGGACCTTGCTCGCCAGTCTGTGAAGGACACGGGTGACATTCATGACATCTCAGCGTCAGGGACACAGTCCTCCAGCAGGACCTTGCTGTCTGTATCCTCCGGGAACTGGTGGAGTAAGAGGTCACTTGACTTCAAGTTGGTGAGAATATTTAAGACTCCTCAATGAGCACCACTGGGACTGCCATCCACAGGCAGTTACTGGTGTGACCCTTCCAGGGCTCAGCCAGGTGGGAGGACGCTGGGGCCAGCACTCAGCTCAGTTTGTGCGGCAGCCCCCCTGCCGTCTCCTTTCTGCTGGTCACTTCTCCAGCTGTACCCTCTGGGAATGCAAACCAATTTTCATGTTAGCTCCAGCCAGGCAGAGAGTGGAAGCCTATCTGGAGAGAAGGAATTCTACCAGTTCCTTCCAGGTCTGAACTCCATAGTTCACTTCAGAAGTGTTGAAGACACAGTTTAAAACAACTCCTTCTGAGGGCAGCATTTTATCAGGGGGAAAGCTCAGAAAGCAGGAAAGGAGGAGAGACAAGTGAAGGGAAATGAGGATCACAGGGCAGAAATGGGAAGCAGGTTCACACAGTGAGGGCTGTACTTAACGTCACAAAGCAAAATGTGCACTAATGACTGAAGGGAAAGCCAGCACACTCTTGGTGGGAGGGCTCGCTCAGAGGGCAGCAGGAATCCTATTACCCCAGTACTCTCCTCTCCCCTCCCTCCAAGACCTTGGTAACGTTTGCTGAGCTGCATGCTGTCAGCCTGGTGACTGGCTGGAGGACTTTCTTCAGAATTAGCCCCAGGAATTCACCTCCTGGGGTCTGAACATGTTCCTAAGAAGAAAGACTATATCCCCCCACCCAAGGAAATGACCTGAGGCTTCTCTGAGCCTCAGATTAGAACATTTGGCCTGAGAGCCTCTCAGCACAAGTTCTCGGGTCTGCTGTCTTGTCCTCTGCTCTTCTTATTCCTGGGGGTTTAATAGTCTGTTTCTAAGCCCTGGAAAGACAAGCCTGAGGTCTCGCTGTGGTATCCCCTGCTCCTCCCATGGTGTCTGGGCCAGAGAGAGTTCCAGATAACTGTTTCTTAGCGAATGAGTGTCTCCATTCCTGCCCCTCACAATCAGCTTGGCATAAGCCTGGTAGCCCTGTGACAGCTTCCCCCCCATGCCGTGGGCACACAGTGGGGAGGGGCTTCTCAGAGCAGACACTGGAGTTGGTAAGTGGAGTCCACCTCTTGCCCCGGATCTGTTTTCCAAACTTCTCAGGGCAAAGGGCTCCCCTTGCGAATGGATCGGACCTGTCACCCTGCTGCTCCTCGGGGCTTCCCTCCGGGTCTGATGGTCAGTCTGTGCACCAAGCTCCTTACTCTGACTCCGCGTGGGTGGTATCTCAGATCAGGTGGGCTCAAAGCAGGCATTAGATGCTGAGGCTGGGTGCTCCGGGACAGTCGGTGGCACTGGAACCACCAGCCCTGAGCAAGGCCCTAGCCCAAGCATGAGGGTCTTCCCCGGCGCCTCAGCTTACCACTAAGAGGATGGGGGACGGTGAACTGCTTCCGGTTGGCTCGGGGCGGCTGCAGGCTCTGCCTGGGCGTCTGGCTCTCGGCCTGCTGGGCCTTCCTCTGTTCCACCATGTGCTCCAGCTTCTTGAGACGTTCTTGTGAGCGGGAGATGAACTGCGGCTTGTGGGCTTCTAGTGCTTCCTGGGGGGACAGAGGGGGCTTTGAAGAGACACAGGTGGGGGCTGCAAGATATCTGTCCTAGTGGGCTGAGAAGCCCGCCACAAATGTGACACCTCCAAGACCAGAAGGCTGCTGTCTGGGCTCAAACCCCACACCCGCCACTGACCCCCAGAGGCCCGGAGCAGAACTGTTTCCAGTTAGTGCTTAACCATGGAGTCACCAGAGCCCCCTAGAGAGGGACCCTGGGGGGAAGCACCGCCATCAAGCTGGTGCTGATTCCTAACGTCCTTGCAGGAAGGGTTCAACTGCCCTGCAGGGTGGCCAAGGCCGTGGTATTTATGGAAGCAGACTGTTACAGCTTTCACCGAGGGAGAGCCTGGTGGCTTTGAACCTTTACCCTTAGAGTTAGGAGTCGAGTGCTTACCCACTGCACCACTAGGGTTCCTCACAGGACCACAGCAGCCAGCACTTTCCAGGCCAGCCTGGTGGCAGTGTGCAGACATGCTGGCTCGTGGGGCCCGGTGCAGCCTTCTCAGGGAAAGGCCAGCCCAGCCCCTTCTGTGCTCATCTCATCTCATCTCTCGGGGGATCCTCAGGAAATTCCAGGAGGCAGCCAGCTTCAGCCCCACTTGGCAGGCGAGAAAACTTGTTCTTGGGTTTGGTGGTTCACCCAGCACCTCAGGGTAGACACCCCGTGCCTTTCCAGCTCCTTCTACTGCTGGGACTTAGATACCTCTGCTCACCTGTCCCCCACCTGTGCTCAAGTCCAGTCTCTGAGGAAGCTGTGCTGGTCAGTTGGGGTTGGGAAGGCTAGGCCATGCCTCCCTCCCGGGAGGACAGGAACTATGACAGCTCACTGAGCACAGGACTGGAGGTCAGTCCCCTGCCCTTCTCCAGGGTGAGGGACAGCTTTCACTTTTCTCAGCCCCTGTGTACACCCCAGTTTCCAGCTACCAGGAGTACAGATCTCAGGCTGTGCTGAAACTTCAGTAAAGAGTCCTGGAAATGGAGACAGCTGTGGTGCACAGCTGACCGTTCAGCTGCCCAGGGGGCCATGGAGGCCCAGGCTGCTTTGGGGACCCTTCAGAGAGTTCATGGCCAAGAGGAGGCTTCGTTGGCCTTGGGGGCCTGGATGCAGGGCTGAGGGCAGGGAGCTCCGTGGTACCTCACAGAGCTTCCTCAAGGCATGGGCAGTCTGGTCTATTTTACGGACGTTAAGAACTCCTCATCTTAGACAAGTTGAGTGGCATCACTGTGCATCTCATCCACACGGTGGGCAGGGGTCCAGAGAGCTTCCGTGCTGGGCTGGCCTCCAGCTCAGAGCACACACACAGCTGCACATGGTTCACCCCTGGGGACAGCTTCCCTATCAGGGGCCACACCCAGGTGACAAAAGAGCTCACCTACAAGGTCAGGCTCACCTGCAAGGTCAGGCTGCTGCCTGGTGCCTGCTGAGATTCACAGTGGTCTTCCAACAGGCCCAGGATGTCTTGCTCCTCGGGGACCACTGGTCCTGGGGGATCTGTGTCCGGGGGAGCTGACGAGGGCTGGGGCGCAGGCACCTCCTCACCCTTCTTGCAGTCCTTTATGTTTACAGTCAGGTCACAGCATGTGTAGGCCCCTGGAAGAGAAGAGGCACCTCAGAGGGCAGTCGGAGCCCCGCCCAGGTCCCCGGCCCCAGCAGACACAGGCATCGTAGAAAATAGAAACGTCAGCGGGTTATTAATGGGCCTCACTAGGCCCCGAGAGCCTGGACACAGGTCCTCCCTCCCTGCCGCCTGGACCTACAGCCTGGTTCTCGGCCAGCTCATCACACTGGTGAGGTGTCGCTCAGCTGCTGGCATCTCCGACGCCTTTGTGAGCACAACAAAGCAGCTTTCCTAGCCACGAGAGTGTGTCCTGTACAACTGTCACAGCTCAGTTGTTTGGGGACAGTGCATGGATCCGTCTTCCTGCCTGCGCTAATGATATGGGATGGAGGAACCATATTCAATTATTTATCCTTCCCCTTAATTTGCTGCAGACCACCACTGGGACTGTTGGCAGTAACTGCAATTACCTGTCTCTCAGCACCGTCTTGGCCTCTTTATGGGTCTGTTTTGATGTGCTTTTGTGGACAAGGTCAGAGAGGGAGTTGGTCCCGTGTTATCTTAGACGGGGCAGCCTGTGGGGGCTCAGGCCACTCTCCGAGTTGGTGATGTTGGTGTGTGCGGTGTGGGGGAGGTTTTAGCAAGCCTCATTGGTCACGACGATCCCTGAAGACTCCAAGGTCTGCACTGTGCTCTCTCTGCTGGATCAAGCACCCATGCGCTCCCTCCAGCCATACTCTCACAACCACGTCCAGCTCTGGGCAACAGCAGGTCTGGCCCACCTTCACCTCAAGGACTTTTCACCTCTAGAAAGACCCGCAGAGTCCTCTCTGCAGAGATGGCTGACCTCCAGGCTGGGTTCCTCCAAGTAGACCCTCACCTTCCCAGTGAAGTCGGCCTCTGCGCCTGTGGGGACTCTCAGAGTGGTACCCACAACCGCAGTGGAACCAGACGAGGCTGAGTGACGCTCTTTAAACCCTACATGCCCATGACCTTCCTGGTGGCTGGGCAGTGTCAAGTTCACCTTGTTTTCTCTACCGAGCCAGGAAGGGGGGGTTCATGGGACAGGGGTTCTCCTGTGAGTCATTCTCCATTCCAGAAGGGCTGTCAACGGGGTAGGAGTCTGAGACAGGCAGGTGAGGACTGAAGTCTCCTCTATGAGCCATCTCCACTCCTGGACACGGGTCCACTTCTGTGAGCGAGTTCTACTCTGGGAGAGGGGCCCACAGTCCACCTGAGTGAGCCAGCTCTGTTCTGGGACAGATGTCCACAGGAAAAGGGTCCACTACAAGGCAGCTCGGTTCTGGTAGAAGTGTCTCTGTGGAAGGAATCCATCTCAGTGAGTCAGCCCTACTCTGAGACAGATGTCCACTTCTACAGGGCAGCTCCGTTCCTGGACAGCTGTCCACAGGCCATGCATCCACCTCCATGAACCAGTTCCATACAGGTGGCTAGGTGGCCATAAGTGTCCCACAATGCAACACATGGGACTCTGTCTCCTAAGTCTCCTCACTCCACAACTGAACCACTGCCTGGACCACCGTCCTCTCTCCGAGCATCCATCAAGAGCTCCCCACTACACTCTTGTCCCAGCGGACCAGACTCCTCTTAACTGGTCCGTGGGGAACGTTTCACCTCTGCTGTCGACGTTGACCCTCCACCAACACCAAACAAGCTGTAGGTTTCTCAAGTAACTTTCACCTTCTAAGCACTTGCTCATGTTCTGTTCTCTGGAAGACTCTCCCCGTCCTTTCCTGACTCCCATCCCTTCCCTTGCTACCTCTAGCCTGTTAGCATCTCCCACCCCCCACCCCGCATAGCCGAGTGGACTTTGCCTCCTAACATACACTACCTCCATTGCTCTTGGAAAAGTTGATTGACTCCCCCTAAACAGGTTTGAGGCCTTTAACACTAATGAGCAAAGACCAGACGAGCTGTGGAGGATACCAAGAATATCATCCAGGAAAAATGCAAAAGATCATTATAAAGACAGAGGAGGAAGAACAGACATAGATGGATGTCGGAAGAGACTCTGACAATTGCACTTAGAGCACCGAGAAGCCAAAGCAAAGGGAAGAAATCAGAACATTAAGGAGAAACAGAAGGTTTCAAAGAGTAGCGCGGGAAGACAAAGCCAAATATTATAATGTAATGTGCAAAGAGCTGGAGTTCTCAAATTAAAAGGGATGAACTTGCTTGGCATTTCTTAAGCTGAAGGAACTGAAGAACAAATTTAAGCCTCCAGTTGCAATACTTAAGGATGTTATAGGCAGGATTCCGAATGATCCAGGAAGCATCAAAAGAAGATGGAAGGAGCACAGAGTCATTACCAAAAAGAATTGGCTGACACAAAAGAATTTAATGTACCAATATATGATCAAGAGGTAATGATGATGAAGGAAGACATTCAAGCTGTTCTGAAGGATTTGGCAAAAAAAAAAAAAAAAAGACCCCAGGAATTGATGGAATATTAATTGACATATTTCAAAAAACAGATGCAGAATTGGCTGTGCTCAACAGGTTATGCCAAGAAATCTGGAGGACAATTACCTGGTGAACTGATTGGCAGAAATTCCTATTTATTCCTATTGCATATAAAAGATGATCTGACAAAGTGTGAAAATTACCAAACAATATCATTAATATCATATGCAAGCAAAATCGTGGTGAAGAGCATCTACAACTGACTAGAACAGTACATAAAGAAAGAGCTACCAGAAATACAAGCTGGATTTCTGGCCCTTGAGGCAGCATAGCCAATGTCAGATGGACCTTGGCCAACAGCACAGAGTAATAGAGGAATGTCTGTGTTTTGTTGACTATGCAAAGGCATTTGACTGTGTGGATCAAAATAAATTGTAGCTAATCTTGAGAAAAATGGGAATTCCAGAACACTTGTTTGTACTCATGTGAAACCTATACTTGGACCAGAAAGCAGTCACCAGAACAAAGCAAGGAAACACGGAATGGTTCAAAATCATGAAAGGAGTGCATCAGGGATGCATCCTGTCTCCCTACCTTTTCAATCTATATGCAAGACATATCATTTGAGAGGCTGCATTTTATGAGGTGGAATGTGGCATCAGGATTGGAATAAGACTCACCAACAACCTGCATTATGCAGATGACACAACCTTGCTTGCTGAAACTGAGTAGGGCCTAAAGTGCTTGCTGCAGAAGGTCGAGGACTGTAGTCTTCAATATTGATTGAAGCTCAACATCAACACAACAAAGATTCTCACCACTGGGCCGACTGGCAGCATTATGATAAATGGAGAAGAGATTGAGATTGTGAAAATTTTCCGTTTGCTTGGCTCCACAATCAATAGTCTTGGCATCAGCAATCAGGAAATCAAAACATCAATTGTATTAGGAAATTCTGCTGTCACAAATCTCTCCAGAGTGCTGAAGAGCAGTAACGTCAATCTAAGGACTAGTATATGCTTGATCCAGGCCATGGTCTTCACAATTACTTGCTATGCATCAGAACGCTGGCCAGTGACTAAAGGAGACAGGAGAAGAATGATACCTTTGAGTTATGGTGCTGGAGAAGAGTATTGGACATACCACTGACTGCCTGGAGAATAAGCAAATGTGTCCTGGAGAGGGAGAAAGAAAGTGGCTTCTTGGAAGCAAGGAGTTTGAGGCTCTGTCTCACACGGTTTGAGCATGTTGCCAAGAAGGACCAGTCATTGGAGAAGGACATCATACTTGGAAAGGTAGAGGGACAATGCAGGAGAGGAAGACCCCAGATGAGATGATTTTACACAGTCACTGGGATAATGAAGGTGGGTTTGTCAGAGAGAGTGAGATTGGCTCAGAATAGAGGGTTCAGACCTACTGTGCATAAGGGTCACTATGAGTTATAGTCAACTTGACAGTTCATAACAACAACAACAACAACATATGCAGGATGCCAGTTCATGTACCACTTTCTCCACTGTCCATTCTGTCAGGAGAACCTGCAAACCACAGCCACCTGACGCACATCCCTCACCACCGCCAGTAATAAAGTCTGTCAATTATGTCTCAACAATCACTACTGAGGTCCTGCCTCAAGGACTCTGCTGACCATGCAGCCGCCTCCTCCTCAGGGACCCTGCACCACATGCAGCCTCCGCCTCACCTTCAGCTGGGTCACACCCTCTAGCCATGCCATGCTCGTCTGTCCTCCTCATGTTCACAGAAGAGTGTTCAACTCTCAGGACACCTCTTCCCCCGCTTGGGGCCTGGCTCTGCCTATAGTCCAGACTCTCAGCCTGACCCAGAAGGTCCCTGCTCCCTCACCCCCTCCTCTCCCTGGGTATCTGGCCATCCCAGTCCTCCACGCATGGAATCGGCCAACATTTGAATCCTTCCTCCAGCTCACAATGCTCTTCTCCCACGGCTCTGATTTCTGACCTTCAAATCAGTGTTCAACTTCCTGCTCAAAATCATCTCCTAGAGGTCTCTGGGTGACCCTTCAGGGGCTGTCCTCTGCTTCCCAGGAGCCCTGCCCATAAAGTGTTAGGAGGCTGGCTCTGTACTGGGCTGTGTGGTCTGGCAGGACTGGAGCAACGACCAGTAGGAACTTAATGCATGCATATTTAGTGGACCATTAACTGAGGAGCCAAAGAAAACAAGAGCTCAAAGCGGAATTTTTTACCAGTTACCATATCACTTTCTCATTTACAACCCAAGGGCCTTAATAGGATCTCGTCCTCTGTTCTTTCTCTCATGCAGTAGGTCTCATGGAGGTGGCTCTGACTCAGAGCCCCTGCATGACAGAAGGAACACACTGCCGGTGTTCACCACCCTCAGGGGCTCTCCTCTGCCCCAGCTTGTTCTGGCATAGGGCCCAGCTTTCTCATTGAAGGCCCTCCTCTTTTTGTCCACCTTCCACTTCACCCGGCCGCTGTCTTTGTCCAGGCACTGGTCTTCCTGATGCCATGTCCCAAGTAGAAACATCCTCACTGATCTGTGGGGTCCATAGACCACTGTGTGCACATGTCCGGCCTCGGCTCCCTTGTGCACTCACAGTCACTGCAGTCTTTAGTCATGACCAGCAACTTGGCCTCGAAGGCAGCATGATATCCTGGTTCCCACGCAGCGGGATTCTGAGAAAGGACTTGAGTTACATAGTGGAGTAAAGTGAATCTCTCTGCCAGCTGTCCGGTACCAGGTAGGACCCAAGGCCTCTCTGCTATTACCACTGCCCGGGAGTCCTGGGCACGACTCTTAACCCAGGGGCCTGCTGCTTGCAGGCATCTACACGAGGATCTCAGAGCTTCCTGGGCCGAGTCTAGAGGCTGCCAGAGTGGCCTCCTTGTAAGGCTCAGGCTGTGGGCTGCAGACCACTGTCCTGCATGCAGCTCGCTTCTTGGAGCTGAGGAGTGAGATGTGCCTCTGTGCACACCTTGCTCTGCCTGCTTCTTCCCCACCCTCCCACTTAGAGGAAGTGCAAGCTCCTGGGTGGTGCTGTCCCTTTCCCATGAGTGTCCTGGGGGGGCGGGGCATCCTCTCAGCCCTTCCTCCCTCGCTCCTTACCTTCAGGGCACTCTCTCTGTACCTGGACACCCCTGATGTCCTGCTGAGGTACGCGCTCATCTTCTAGGGAAGAGAGGAACCCAGCCTGAGGGGCTCTGGGTCCTGGGAAGCTTTGATGCTGACTCTCTGTGGGCTCAGACGGGGTGCCAGACTGATGGGCCCCTTTTGGCGAGCTGCCCCCATTGGGAAGGAAATCTTTTACAGGCTTCCGTTCCACCGGAGGAGCAGACAGAGTCATGCGAGGCTCTCTTTGTTGCTTCTTGCTTCCAGAAAATACTTTTGTGTCTACCAGAAATAAAATGAGAGTTGTGCTCAAAACATCTGCCTAGTTCCACACTAACACGCTGACTCGTTCAGTCCCCTCAGGCTTTTTTAAGAGAGAGTCTGGATGAGGGTGCCAAGCCTGAGGTCAATGAAGAGGTTGGTGGCCTTCATCCTAGGTCACCTTCTTGACGTCTGCCTGGGACATCACTCCTGCTAAGACTCGTCAGTGCTGTTAGGAAAGGCACACACCCACCTGTTGTGTGCGTGGTACTCGTCCCTTCTCTAAGGGATGGCTCGATCGTGTAGCTCACAGACTCTGGGACCTGGCCACCTAGGTTCAAACCTCACCTCTGCCACTTACCAACTGTCAGACTGCATCGGCAAAACTAAGCTCAGGATGTATTTTATGGCCAAGATTAAAGAAGCAGATTTATTGAAAGTATTCAGTGCTGTGACATACCTCCCCTCCGCTCTGGAATCGTTCTCCACTCAGAGCAACTCTGCAGGACAGAGCAGCCCACCCTGTGAGGCTTCCAGGGCTGTATTCCTTACAGAAGGAGACTGCCCGCTCCGCTCCTGGAGAGAAGCACATGGGCTGGAACCACCAACCTTCTGGGTAGCAGCCTGTGCTTAACTCACCCTCGTGTCCCCAGGGTTCCTGTACTGTACACAGGACACATTTGCTGTTAATAAAGTCCATTTATTGTGGAAACATTTTGGGAGAGATCAGCCTCTGCCAACTAACATCTTCTGGTGAGTAGGAGGTGGGTAGAAGTCACTGGGTCATGTGAGAAGCCCTGATAACACCCCTGGGGCCTCTCAAGAGGGGACTCTAGGCTTGGCTGCCGGCAGCACACTGTAGTGTCCACAGCCTGGAAATGGTCTACTGTCCACACGCAGGGGATTACTTAAGCAAATTACATCCATGCTTCGCAGCTGCTAAAATGCACAGGGCAGATGCCCCTGTGCAGACATGGGATGATCTCCAAGATACTCATTATGTGAACAAAGCAGAAGTCAGGCCAGTGAGGCAGGCGCACTTCCTCAGGAAGCGTTCTGTGTGCAGACAAGCTCTGGAAGGATCCGGAAGTAGCTGGAAACAGTGCTGCCTCAGGAGAGGGCAAAGCAGGACCAGGGACTGCGAGAGAGACTTTCTTCTCAGAATTTACCCTTTGTCCTCTTTCTTTCTCTGCTTTTTGTTTTATTTTTTCCTTTGGAATACTCTGTAGATTCTAAAATTATTTTAAATTGGTTTTTCAGTAATACAATGGCTTCCCAGGGGCCACTTCCTCTCTCCCACCCCCAAGGATGTTGATTCCCTGGGAGAAGGGGGTACAGGTAGGAATTGGGGGGAGGGTTAGTGGTACCAGGAAGAAGGTGCTGTCAGAAAAGCTTCTTCCACGGGGTCCACCATCGTTTCTCAGATGCCCTCTGTATGAGATGAGCTGATCTGTGACTGGCCCTGACGGGGCGACCTGTCCTGACATTGTGCCCACTACCTGCATCTTAGACACCCTTTTCCATCAAAGGCAGGCTGATATGATGAGGTTGGCAGAGCAGAGGAAGGACGTGGGATTTTGGCTCAGAGAGAGCCCTCACTGTAAGATCTTGGGGAAATGAGTATGTTGACAGATAAAAGTTTTCTAGTTAAAGAAGTCAATCTATTTTCCTTATTAATAAACAAGCAAAATGTAGACAAACTGCCTACTCTACCCAAGTGCTTGGCACATAACTCGCTCCCACTGTCACTGAGCCTACGGCTTTCCAGGTCTGGAACTCTTTGCAGGAGGAAACTGCTGATCCGTCTACTGTGGAGCAGCTGGGGGATTTGAACTGCTGACCTCTTGGTTACATAACTGAAGTTACCACCGTAGCTCCTTGTTTAGTACTGCAAGGATCTACCACATTAAAAAAAAAATTACTGAACAAAATTGTTTAAAAAAGACTATTTACTTGCCATTGTCACAGCTGGAAAGGAGACGTGTACGTATTTGTGAAGTTGGGCATTGCTGATACCAGAGAAGTTTTTCTAAACCTCTATTTAAAACAGTCATTCCTGTTTGAGTGTCCTAACGTCTCCTCATTCCTGTCTAGTCAGTTCTCACTCCCTGCAACCCCCAGCAGGCTCCAGATGCTGTAATCTTTACAAAAGGAGGGGGCCCATCTTTCTTCTGACACACAGCTGGGGGATTCAAACTGCTGACGTCACACCCACCAGGTCCCTCTATCCTGCTGCTTTAATTAGAGACTTGTATAAAATTAAACAGCCAAATAAATGATCTGTAATAAGAGTCCCAATCTCCTAGATACTCTGGAGTTCTATCTGAGCATTAGGTTCTTAACGCATTAACATAAACAGACCAGTTCCATATAGATGTGTGGGTTTGGAGGCAGTCAGCTGCAACTCTCAAACTTCCAGTCAACTTGATCTTGGTCAACATTACGATGAGGCCACCAAGAATCCAGTCATTCTTGTCTTCCTTCCATTGGTGAGCTCATTCATTCCCATGAATCACAACTCCCAAAGTCACAGCTTCAGACCTTATTTCCCGTCTAGACTGATGTGTGGAACTTCACTCCCCTTGGATCTCATCGTGATCTTGTACTCACTAGACCCCGAACCTTCCCCTTTCAGTGGGATCTCGCCTTTCAGCTGCTCCAGTCAAATACAGCAGTCCTCCTCGGAGCCTCGATCTCCCTACACTGCAGAGAACCCAGCAAATTCTCACCAGCTGCACTCTGATTACCATAGTCTAAGCCACCAGCATCTCCAGTCTAGATCATGTCAAAGCTTCCCAGAAGTTCTGCTCCTTCCTTCCCCATCTCCCAATCTATGTTCAATCCAACCAGAGGGGCCTTTTTAAAGCACAAGTCAGATCCTGCCCCTTCTCTGTTCACACCCTGCAGTAATCCCAGCTCACTCTCGGGCATAGTCACAGCCCCCACAAGAGCCCCATGAAGTCCCGGGTGGCCTGGAGACCTGCCCTCTCTCCTCCTCTCCTAGACCTTCTCCAGCCACAGGGCTCCTCAGTGCACTTCATACCGCCCAAGCGCATGCCAGTCTGAGGGCCTTTCCACTGACCATTCTCAGCCTGGAGAGTTCCTCACCCAGATACCACCTTGACTCACTCTACCCATCATCTCTCCTTAGCACAGATCTCTAATGACGTCTACCCTGGCCAGGTACTATTTAGCTCGTGAATACTTATCTGCTTAGCGTCACAGAGAAATTAGGCTTGAGGCTGAAGTCCTCCAGCCCACCATCCCCACCAGCACTGCGGCCCCAGCCTCTTGACTCTCATGCGCTCCCCTCCGCCCACTGGCCTGTGTGTCCCGTGAGCATAGGGATTCTGGTTGTGGTCTCTGATGCACCACGGATGGGACCTGACTCCTGGGAGATGCTGACCCAGGTGACTTGACTGGGTGACTGTGACAAAGCAGAAGTTCTGCAGGTTCTGTATGGGCCACTGGTCCTCTGCTTAGCTTCTCACCCCTGGAGCCTGAACATGACCTCAGGGGACAGGACTCTCCTCCAGAATGGAAACAGTCTCCTAGCCAGTGGGGTCAGAACCATTTGGGAAGAAGGATTTGGGGCTGTAACAGCAGGCACTTAAGAAGCCCATTATTTCTCTAACAAGAGCGGCTTGCTGTTTTCCTTTCAGACAAGGAGCAAATCTCCAACTTCCAATTACAATACACATTTAATTTCCAAATAAATAAAAGTTAGCTTGTGATCCAGCGAGCAATAATCAAGAAAGAGACAGAACAAGCCTCCTGTGTGTGCCCTCTTCCTCTCCAGCTCCAGGCCAACCTTTGGACAAAGCTTCATCTCCTCCTGTGGAAACAAGCCCTCATTTGGTAACACTGCACCCCACCCCATACAGACTTCTGTTTAAAATCAACAGCTAATGGTTTCAGCACATCTCAGCTAACAATCTAAAGTAGGACAGCAAAGCTTCAGTAAGGAAGGCAGTCAGGAAAGGGGGTGCGGGGCGCTGGCAGATAGAATATGGGAGAAACAGTCCTTGCAGAGTGAGGGAGGAGAAGGCTGCCCTGGCACAGCTGGACCCAGGAGATCCTGCAGACCATCTGCCTGGTAGAGCAGGGCTGGCACTGTCAGGAAGATAAAGAATGTGGGAGTCAAAGGAGAACAGCCTCTGAGAATCCGACACGGGACTGAGGGGGCGTCCAGAGGAAGCCCACACTAATCGAGTTCCTTCCTCCCAGGAAGCAGGCTCCTGCAGACACCAGCCCTTCACAGCCAGAAAACAGGTTACTCACGGGCTGGGGCCAGCTGGTAGAAGGAGAGCCAGCCAAGCACGCAGACAGTGACTGAGAAATGAGACCGGAGCTGCTGATCTAAGAGAACAGCCGCTCACTCTGTGACCTCAGGGCAGACAGGAGAGGAGCGAGAATTAGTACGAAGATGTCAGTTTGTTATTAGGACTACAACAAGCAAGCACTTGAGGTTTTCAGACAAAAAGGACAAAGGGCCGTCCAGTCATTGTCATGTCAGGGTCAAATTTCTAGAGATTATGGGGAATTGTGTGCAATTCTCATTTTGGGTAAAGCTTATCTGTCTGGCTGATGCAAAGTAGGAATCCATACGGTTCTCCCTCCTCTCCCTGGAGAAAACCAAGAAAATACTTGGTAATTAGCCAGAGCTGTTTTTCCAATTATATCAGAATACTTGAGGTCCCAAGACTGATGAACAGAAGTTTCAAAACACACAAAAATTATTTACAGTCAGAAATAAAACACACACACTCCTACGTACACATAAAAAACCACACATACATATACATACATGCCTATTTCCTAAATTGGCCTGACTATATTGCAAGTGATCATGAGATGACAGAAATTCTAATTATTACATCTTTCTACCTTAGGCTCAGGAAACATGCTAGTCTCAGAATAAGACAGATTAAAGGTACAGAATATAAGTAAGGCCTTTTCAAAAAAATAATCAACAGTGAATCTTATAGATCTGTATTAAACCCTATAACTTGAAATAGAGA